CGTGTCGTGTGTGTGTGTGTGTATGTGTGTGTGATTGTGCGCTGGCAGGGACGAGTGTGTGTGTGTGTGTGTGTGTGCGCGCGCACTGCCCTGGTCTTCGGAAGCACCCGCGCCCCATCGGGAAGTCTGAGCCCCTGGAAGGGCACCAGGACACCGAAGGCGCCTGCACCCCACAAAGGGTTAAACGCTCCGGGTTGACCATTAACTTCTCCCAAGGGCGAGTGGGACCGAAGGTCGCTGGGGCCCAGGATTCGGGGTGGGGAGGGGGGCAGCCCCGATCCTACCGGCACAGCACCACCCACCTGTGTATGGGCCGGATGGACAGACAGTGCGATGGGGCGGGGGCAGGGGGGGCGGCAGAGCGACGGGTGTGCTGGGGATAGACCGATATTGTGGTAGCCGTGTTGGCCCTGCAGAGGTGGGGAAGGGACCCTGTCCTGGTGGCCCGGCATTGGGACCTGTCATACCCCCCCCGCCCCTCCCGAGCCAGCCCCACCCTGACTGTGTCGCGTGCTGTGCTCTGCTGGGACTGGCGTGAATGGGCGGCCGTGCATTGGGCCCCGGTGTCCCTCCCCAAACAGTGACACCCCGCTCTGTGGGGCCGGCGTGACGCTCCCCGCTTGTCCTGGTGTCTCGGCCCAGGGGTGAGCAGGCCAGGATGTCCGAGGGGCCGGCCAGGCGGAAGGTCGGGATCGTGGGCTTTGGACATTTGGGTATGTTGTAGCCCCCCACTCCACCCCGCCAATTGCTTGCCAGGGGGATTGAGGCTCACCCGGGGCTGGGGGGTGGCTGCTTCCCTGGCTGGGGGCTTGGGGACTGGACTGGGGGGCTGAAACGGCAGTGGGGAGGGAAAGACAGGCGGGGTGGTGTTATGGGCAGCACCACCGCACCTGCTGCAAGAATTCTGGCCTGGAGGGGGGCAGCTCCCCGCACAAACCCGAGGGGCCTTGTCCTGGTAGATGGTGGGGGGGAGTTGGGGGTGCGGACGTCTGGGGTTCCCAGCCATGTCGGTCAGGCGCCCGCCTCGCCCTAGGCCAGTATCTGGTGCGGAGACTCCAGGACGAGGGACCCCGGCACGGCCTGGAACTCGCCTTCGTCTGGAACCGGGATGCGGGGAAGTTGCAGGGGAAGGTGCCGGTTTCCCTCCAGCTGCAGGACCTGGCCCGGTTCCCCGAGCAGTGAGTGCTCCCCCCGCCCCCCCCAGCTGCAGGACCTGGCCCGGTTCCCCGAGCAGTGAGTGCTCCCCCCGCCCCCCCAGCTGCAGGACCTGGCCCGGTTCC